CACCTGGATGATTTGATGTTTCACCAGAAAACTCTGCACGAGACGTCATGCATGAGCAAGCACATTGTTGTAATGAAGCTGACAGTCACCAGTTGCCCATTGCTGCAGCCTCCTGAATCATCCAAATAGCTTCTGCGGAGGAATGTTCAAGCTTCATGCAAAATTTGATGCAAATTTGTTGCTCTGCTTGCTCAGTCAATTTGAATGCGACAGCCACACAGTACACATACTCATTCAATGGCATCTACCACCCTCACTGACTAGTACAGTGAACTGGTCATTGTTCACACATACACATTGCAGTCCACTCTCTTTGGCTGCCAGGTTACATCAATGTCTTGCAAACTGTTCTCTTTAGATTAACAATGGCTGGACTTTTACAAAATCAGTATCTTGAACAGATAATCTGCACCCCCATGTTCATTGTAGCATTATTTTCAATTGTTTGTTATTTTATTTTATTATTATTTTTTTGGTTGCCAAATGATCTTTAATTGAAATATTTTCTTTGTGGTTCTTAACTAGCCGGGCATTCCACTCCACCTCTGTTGATGTCACCTATGATGTCATGAGGGTGGCAGCCATCAGCATTGCAGCCCATAGACTGGGCAGTCCCCAGGATCTCTTTATGGTTCCAGAGAGTTCTCTAGGTAAAGATCAGTGCCACATCTGTCAGACAGTGTTGGCAATCTCATCAAAAGTGTCTTTCCACTCTGCTTAATGTGTGGTGTTTTTGTTTTCTGTTTTGCTTCTTTCTGTCTCTGCGGTTCTTCGAGGGCTTTGATGATCAGGGCAGAGACGGAAGGCACTACCTCAATCTTGGCCGCTCTGTACTGAATGGTCAGTTACACTGTGATCCTCAGACCCTTCCCATCGTTTGTTGTTTCGGTGATGTCATCAACCATTTTTGGAGACGGGCCTAGGGGACCAAGCTTGGGGGCCAGGGCAGATGTGGCACCAACTTCCCCACTCATGCACCTCAGGTTACAACTTTGATCTCATTGGGGTTGAGCTTTGGCAGCATGGTGGAGGCGGCTGGTATCAGATGAACCTGGATTTGGGACGACCGAAGAAAGTTGCACCTAAGCCTCCTCCAAGCTGGAAGCCGAAAGCCAAAAGGTCAATTGTTTGTTCTTAATCGCGAGACATGGCTTAAGTATTAATGGGAGAGGTAGGAGAGAGGGTTGTGTGCCCAGTGATGGCCTTACATGTCTCCTGGGACCCTTGATGTCTTTGTGAATTGGAGGGATCCGGCTGCCTTTTTCTGGGCAAATTGGTTCCCAAAGACTATTTAGTACAACTCTGGCAAATGCAAAGAAAAATTACCCAAAATTTAGAAATAAGGCCAGGAGTTCGCAGTGTATTCAATCAGCCCCCAATCTCCCTGCCCACTACCCCTCTCCCCCCGCCACTGCAAGGATTTTTTTAATATTTAGGGGAATGTACTTTTGTTAGACTTCTCTGTTGAAAAATTAATTAAGGGCTCAGCTCAAAGTCACATATCAACCTGTAGCTCTTACCCAGTAGAGATGCAAATAATTTCTGCCCCATAAGGTTATGATAACCCTATAAGGTTATGATTTCCTTATTGCCTTGTAGGACAATAACCAGTTTTGTATCTAATCCAGGAATCTCAGGCTTTTATTCCTGTTTAAATGTCCACAAACACCGAGTCCATCAAAATTCTCTCTGAACCACTCTACCTTCATATTTGGTCCTTTATTGATGAGTCAACTAATCTTTAACATGTGTTCATTCTATATTTGTACGAGGGTTGTGCTTTGAAAATTACACTTTGAAGGTGATAACAAGTATATTTTTCCCAAGTTTAAAATAATTAGCTATCCCATTACAAACAAACACATTTGTGTGTCTTGTAGTGTGGTGCACAAAGGTGCCTTTCTGTATGTGATCACATTTTGACCTTGAATCTTGGGATTTCCTCGTGAGGAAGAGGAGTAGATAGGGTTAGTCCCACTTCACAGCTGGGGGAACTTGGACCTGGATTGAGAAGGGAGGTGACTTGCCCCCCAGGTCACCCATAGCTTAAGTGGCAATACCCAGATGGCTCCAGAGTGAAGCTGGGTGCATAGGCTGGTTCTCCTTCCTGTCTCTGCCTAGCACGCCTGCCTGTCCTGGTGAAATCTGGTTAAAATGAACATCAAGAGCAGCAAATGGAAAGATGCACAGGTAGGAGCAGACGGATAGGGTGCTGAAAGGGGAGGGCCGCCCTGGGGGCTTTGCGTGGGAGGTGGTGTGTGTGTGTGTGTGTGTGTGTGGGTGCGCGTGCGCGTGCGCGCTGCAGTGGGCTGCACCGCCTCCACCTCTGGCAGCAGCACTCACTCTCATGGGCAAGAGCTCCCCCATCCTGAGTCCCCAGACCCCCAGGGGCCATCTTTCAATGTAGTAATAGGGGGCCCAGAGAGATCAGCAATATTTCAGAAAGCTTAAGAGAGATCATACATCTCCCCATGACAGGTCTGCCCAGACTAAATGAAATGTCATTTCTCTGCTTTTGGCTGGAATTCCGTCAGCTCAGTCTGGCTGCACTGCTTATCTTGGGCTGATCAGGAGCCCTGATGGACCTTATATACGTCCTTGACAAATAAAAATGAATTATTACTTAATAAATGCAATTGGTTTGGCAAACACAGCCTTTCAGAGCATGGCTCCAGGGAGCTCCAAAGCCCCTAACAAAAGGGGTTCCTGGGGCATAGAGGTGGGGACTTGCTGGCTCTCCCAGGACCAGCTCTGGCTAGAGTCCTTTTCCCAGGTAACAGAAAATGGTGGCTCTGGGACACCCGACAGATCAGCCTGAGCCTGAGAACTTGACACAGTTCAAAGTCTTGCTGCTCCTAATGCCACCAGATGCTGAACCCTGGGCATTCATTTCACCCTAGGAAAACATCAGGAGCTGGACAGCTGGCACGGTGGCAGGACTTCAGGCAACCTCTTTCACCCCGGTTTCCTCATCTTTTAAAAAGGTGCAATGAAACTGAGTCTGCAGCCTTCCCAGAAATGTTACAAGGCATCAAGAACAATAGGCGCACTGAAGGGAGGTCACTAGGTTCCAAGCACCATCATGTTCTCATTTGCCCCTCTGGTAACCCTGGTGAGTGGCACTGCTATTATTCCCATTTTACTGAAGCTGAGAGTATAAGCAACTTGTTTGAAGTCACAAAGCTCAGTTGAGTACAGAAGTCAGTGCGAACAAGTACAGAAAGATGGTTACTAGGAGGCTGTGGGTCACACCTGGTTTGAATCTTGGCTCTACCCCTTTCTAGCCAGGTAGCTCTGGGGAAGGTAGGCCTCAATGCGTCTCAGTTTCTCATCTGCAAAATGGGGTTATAATTGTACCTACTTTTAGGACTTTTTAATAAAATAGGGATATTCTTGATTGATTTGGCCCCAATTATAATTGGTTGGGATTTAAGGGAGGTTAACGGAGTTAGGATGAGCAGCAGAGGCAGGAACCATGGCATCTCAAAGAAACAGAGAGACAAAGGTCTCATTTATGTTGAAGGCAGAGTCTTACATTCACATGTTTGACCTATTACAGGCAAGTGGGTGCGTAATAGAGCCAGTCTGTGGTATGTAAGTTACATCTCAAAAAAGCTGTTTAACAAAATGGAGCCAGTCCCTGCCACCTTTGGAACTTAAGATAGTGGGCCAAATGGTCAGTAATCAAATAATGACAATAGTGTGCTTGTGCTAGTAAAGTACAACATTCTATGAGAGTGTATGGCCAGAGGACCTTGTCTAGCCTGGGAGGTCAGGGAAGGTTTCCCCAGGCAGGTGATGCTGAGCTGGGATGGGAAGAAAGAGAAGAGTGAACCAGGTGAAGGGGAGATGGGAAGAATGCTCCTGGCAGGTGGAATATTATGTGCAAAGGCCCTGAGGCAGGAAGGCATGGGGATCACTGGAGAAAAGAAAGAAAATGACTGGCTGGAGTGTCACTGTGCACGATGAGCCCAGGGAGGGAGGACTTGGTGGTGCAAGACTTTGGAGGCCGAGGAAAGCACTTGAGTCTTTATCTCAGGACCCTAATCCTGCAATCCCCACCCTCTGAGCCCAGCTTCTCTCTGGTGGTGGGGATGCGTTTGCGAGTGGCCATGGGGTCCAGTTGAGGCTGAGAGAAACGCTGAGGGCTGCGTGTCCAGGGGCGTTCGCTTTCTGGGTTGAGCATCTCTTTGTCCTGTGGAAACCTGCTGGCACACCATCTGTGGGCCCGGTCTGGCTCTACTGAGCAGCCATTTCCTAGCTGGGAGGAGGCTTTTTGGCTTTAATAAAACGGGAGTAGAGATAAGAAGACCGCCTCGGCGGGGAGAGCAGCAGTGACAGGATGATTTAAACAGCCTCTCCAGTGTCATTTCTTCTGTGCAGACATCATAAATCAGATTAGCACTGGGCTCTGATAGGGAGGGGTGTAGGGAAAGGGGCCTGCAGGGAGAGAGAAGGGCTTGTGACTCTGGGTCCTCCTGGGACTGGCCTCGAGCTATTCTGGGTCCTCAATCCCCCAGCCTTACTCTTTGGAAGAAGGACAGGTGGACTGACTCCTCCAACCCAGCTTTCTAGCTCATATTCCACTTTGGGAAAAAAAATGAAAATGGATTGATAAGAGAAACAGGGAAGAGAAAAATTGGGGCAGAGTGGAGGGGCAGGTGTAGGAGGTGGGTGTTGCAGCCACCAAAGAACTAGAAGCAGCAGTTCTTCTACTTTGGCGTGTATTAAAATCACCATGGGAACTTAAAATACTGATGCCTGGGTATCACCCACAACATTTCTGGGCTCTAGGTGATTCTGACGTGCAGCTGAAGTTAACGAGGACTGGATGGGAACTCTGCTTCCAGCTTAAACTCAAGAGCTTTGCAATCTCAAGCCATCGCTTTCGCCATGACCACTTGGTCCCTCTGGCCTTCCTCCTGACAGTGACGAGAGTAGATGTCTCTGAGACAGGTGTTCATGCAGAGCAACTCCCACTTGCCTCCCTTCTCTTCCAGATCTCTCGCCACCTGGGCAAGATGTACAGCGAGATGATCTTTGTCAACGGTTTCGTGCACTGTGACCCCCACCCGGGCAATGTGCTGGTGCGGAAGCGGCCAGACACAGGAAAGGCAGAGATTATCCTGTTGGACCATGGGCTCTACCAGGTAGGAGAGGCCTTTCCCACCCAGCCAGCCCCAGGGTTTAGTCCTGCCTGGGCTCAGAGCCCACTGATCTCCCCTATGGGCCACAGAAATGGGAGGCAGATGGCCAAGGTATCTGGAGAGGCCCTGTCCTAGCTCTAGAGCTGTCATTTTGTGCAAATCACAGTCATATACTCTCTGAGCCTCAGCTTCCTGCAGGATAAGGTGAGGATGGTGATGCCTCCTTTATAGGCCACTGTAAGGAATACACGGGAATGTACCTGGACATATAAAAGTGCTTTGTCAGCTGTAAAGCAGCCTTGCTTCCCAGGGAAGCCCAGGCTACCTCAGACCCTGGGACATAACTATCCTTTGATGAATGGGGCGTAGATAAGGAGGGATAATTTAACCCTAGTGACGAGGTGATGTGTAGCAGGAAAGGGGGCTGGGAACTGACAGGGGCTCTGTCCTCTGGAATTGGGATGCAGAGTTGATTCAGATGAGCCAAAACTTCCACCTAGAAGTTAGGAAGTTCACAGCCAATCCTGGGACTCGAGACCTGATTTGATTCTAGAAGACAGATGATCCTTGGGGAGGTTTTCTCTGTGGTGTCCTGCACCTTCCCTCAGGGCCCTAACTCCACACCCCAAACTCTTAGCACCCCTTTGAAGGGCTCAGTGACATTGGGTACATTAGTTTAAGGTAGGCCAGCTGCTGTCACACACAGCTCCCAAACAAATGATGACCCGGACACAGCAAATGTCTAACACTCGCTCCTGTGCTTGTCTCAGGTGGGGGGAGGGGACAGAAGGCAGTGCTGACTGAGGCTCCGCCTCCCAGGCCTCCCTTAGGGTGGCCTTTCCACCTGCATCTAAAGGGGTAAATAAGGGCTCAGAGGAGCATGCGTGGGCCGAGACTGGAAGTGGAGCTTCTGCCACATTCTCTTGGCCAGAGCTCTGGCTGAAGGCCATATTTAACCAAGAGGGATACGGGGAGTGTGATTTTGGTGGGCACTTGGTAATTTCTGCCACTTAGGACCAAGGATGGCCAAATAGTAGCTTTGAACTTGAACCTTCAAGGATGGCCGGACTTTGAGGGGGAAGCAGACGTTGTGCAGGAGCCATGGTCTTCGTCCATCCCCCTTCACAGCGGTCACTCCGGCCAGGGACTAGACCTTCGATAGGGAGAGGAGGCTCAGATGTGACGGCTGCCCCCGCCGTAGGTGCTCACGGAAGAGTTCCGCCTGGATTACTGCCACCTCTGGCAGTCGCTGATCTGGACTGACATGAAGAGAGTGAAGAAGTACAGCCAGCGCCTGGGAGCTGGCGATCTCTACCCCTTGTTTGCCTGCATGCTGACTGCCCGCTCGTGGAACTCGGTCAACAGGGGCATCAGCCAAGCTCCAGTCACTGCCACTGAGGTAGGTGAACCCTCCTGGCCCTGCCGTCTCCTGAGTGCAAGGGGCAGGACCAGGGTTGGCCTTTGGACCCCTTCCAATCCAGGCCCTACTTGATGGGCTGTGAGGGTGGGGTAGTGGGCAGAATTGGAGGGGGACTGGGTGAGAAGGAGGATGGGGCGAGAGACAGTGTCCCTGGATGGAAGGAGGGAAGGGGAGCGATACCCCACTCCTGCCCTTCCTCATCAACATGGAATATAAACAGGTCACATGAACCACGTGATCAGACTTCTGTGGCTTTCACTTTAACCTGCTCACACAAGATTTCAGGTTTCCACAAAGCTCTCCCCCTAGGACTTATGGGAATCCCCAGAGACTGTCTCACAAATAAGTCCGGTACCACTTCTGCTGTCTCCTCCTGGGGGCCATTTCCCATTGTGTGGTTCCTCTGCGGCACCCATCCGGAGAGAATGCTTCAGTTCTCATGCGGTGTCCCTTGTCCCATTGCTCTGTTGAGTTTTTAGTGAAATGGCTTTTTGGACTTTCTTGGTAGTTCGTTTCTTCATCGGAACTAGACAGTAGTTCTGTGGTGTCTGGGTGAGACCTATCCAAGCAACATCTCCCTGTGCCCATTTTCATCTCTGCCCCACCACGGGGGCTTCTGCAGCGGCCCACTCTCCCTGGCTCAGAGCTCTCTCCCTCCCCGGCTTCTCAGACCATCAAGGGATGGACTTCTGTCTTCCCAGTCTGTCAGGTTGCCAGGCTTAGGCAGACTTGCTTGTATCCATGTGGGGATGGGCTCAGGCCCACCACAAGGGGCACAGTCCTTCCTGTGTAGTTAGAAAGACAGGTTCTGGTTCCAGCACCTGCTCTTCCTGGTGGCATGACCTGGGATAGTTCTTGTCACTTCTTTGCGCCTCGGGGCGGGGGTGCCCTTTAAGCTGCTTTACGGTAGGTGGCTTTAGGAATGGCTCTATCCAGAGTGTCAAATGATGTCACCAAAAAGGATACCTGTTCCCATCTCTTGGTTCTGCTTTCCTCCAAGCTTTCATCGTTCTCCAGAAAGCTTGGTGGCAAAGATGACCACCAAGTGCCCCAGGCCTACACAGCTCTAAAGCTTGTCATCTCAGAAGAAGACAGACAGTCTCCCTCCTTTGTTGGAGAGGGATGGGAACTTCTGCTTTACTGGTCATGCATGGAGAGTGCCTCTCCGTAGCTCCTGAAGTTCATTTTCTGAGCAAACATTTGTTTTTGCTGGACCCTGGACTAGGTGCTAAGGATCCAGTGATAAGCAGACAAGCAGCCCTTCTGTGTAGTTTGCACTGTGGTTGAGGGAGACAGACAGTAAACAAGTGAGCGAACAGGTAAATGGTATAATTGCAGGTTGTACATATCAAGGAGGGAACAAGCTTGTGATGGGGGTGCTGTAAACTGAGTGCTCAGAGAAGAGATCTCTGAGGGGTTGACATTTAAGCTGAGGCCCCAAGGACAAGAAAGGCACCAGCCACAGGAAGAGCTAGGGGAAAGCATTCCAGGCAGAGAGGACCTAATGTGCTAAGGCCTGGGGCAGAGAGAGTTTGGTGTGGTCCGGAGTATGGTGAGGTAGATGGTGGAATGAGAAGAATTTGAGTACCAGGCAGAGAGAGCATCACTCTGGGCCCATAAGCCATGGAAAAAAGCTTGGGTTAATTCTAAGTACAAAGTAAAGCCTTCGATAGGCTTTAAGCAGGAGAAGGACATGCTCAGACTTGCTATTTCAAGTATCTCTTGGAGGAGGCTGGGGCAGAACTCCATGTGGAGAGGTGCTGGGGGCTCAGACTATGCCCATGGCAATGGAGGTGGAGAGAAGCAGGTGGACTTTAGGCTGAGAGGGTTTGCAGTGGTTTGGATGTAGAGGGGATGAAAAGTTGCATCACAGCTCTTTGGGGTGAATCACAGGATGAGGGAGGGCGGTGCCACTTCCTGACATAGAGAAGACTTTGAGAAGGCCATATTTGGGGCTGGGCATGTCAGTAGTTCTCCTGAGCTTTCAGATAGAGGTGTTATGGGCCCTTAAGCCTGGACCGCAAAGAAGAGGCCCAAGCTTGAGAGAGAAATTTGGGAATCCAAATTTCGGAGAAACATAGGTGGTATCTAAAGCCACAGGAATGGAAAAGGTCCTATGGCACAAGTAGATACTCAGTACATGATATCTGCTTTTATTAACTAAGTTTGAATTTTATTTTTGCATTTTTACTCATTCATAAAGACCCAGCTTCAGTGCTGCTGTAGTCGTCTGCTTGGGTTGCTGTAGTGGAATACCACCAACTGGGTGTCTTAATGACGGAAATGTGTTCTCTTGCAGTTCTGGAGCTCGAAGTCCAATATCAAGGTATCATCAGGGTTGGTTTCTGGAGGGAGCTGTCTTCCTAGCTGGCGATGGCTGCCTCCTCATCATGTCCTCACATGGCCTGCCTTTCGTGTGTACACACGCCTGGCATCCCTTCTTCTTGTAAGGACATCAGTCCTATCGAATTAGGGCCCCCGTTATGGATTCACTTAACTTTAATTACCTCCAGAAAGGCCCTATCTCTAAGTAATCACATTGGGGTTAGAACTCCGACTTAGGGATTTGCAGGGAGCACAGTTCAGTCCAGAGCACCAGCCCGGGAAGCTTCTCCTCATACCTGTGCCAGAAGTGATCCTCTAATACTTGTGTCATGCATGTGCAAGCACCTTATACTCCGTCTCATATATTTATGTGAACTCTTTGACTTGTTGGTGAGGACCTGAACAGTGGGCATCCTGTCCGGTACATCTTTTCATAAGGTCTCTGCCATTCTGGGACCAGGTCTCACAGAGAGGCGTTAGTGTAGGTTATGGAGATGTGGACTGCGTTTGCTCACTTTGGACAAAAACCCAGGTAGAGAACAAACTTAGCCACCCTTGGCCAGCCATGCCTCTGAGATGGAAGGGCTCAGTTTCCTGAGTCCTAGTCTAACTCAATCATGAGGGTAACCTCCAGCATTGTTTCAGGGAGAATGTTTCCCAACTACAAGTGGTTCCAACAATCAGGAACTTGCTCCCTCCATACAAGAAGCCTGGAGGTGGGTGGGCCCAGGTTGCTGACCACGCAGGCTGACCGCCTCAGGGCTCTGGGCCAACTCCTCTGTGCTTCTCTCGGTTTCCTCTCACGATTCCAAGGTGACTGCAGCAGGTCCAAGCTTTGCACCTTTGTTCCGTGGTGTCCAGAGGTGGGAATGAGGGCTATTTCTTCTCATACATATTTCTTCTCAAGAGCAAGAGAACCCTTCCCAGAAGTCCCCCAAAAGACTCCTCCTCATGTCTTATTGGCCTGAATCATGTCACATGTCCATTCCTAAGCCAATCACTTGGCAGGGGCATTAAGCTCAGAGCCAGTATTGACTGAGATCAGCCAGAGTTCTGGGGCTAGACAGCGGCTCCATGAAGAGCATGGAACTAAGGGCCCAAATAAACAAAAATGGGGTTCTTTTGACACAGGAGAATGGGGAGGGAAGGCTGTGGGATAGGCACCCAGTGGGGCCTACTGTAGACACCCACCATCAGGATGTGTCCAAGGCTGAAGGCTGCGGTGTCCCCTCCAGGCAGCCTGGGTGGGCATGGGTGCTTTCTGTTTGGCCTGAGAGGGGCTGTTGCCAGTCCAGTCCCTGCCTTGCTAAAAGTGGGGGGGGAGGGTCCCTGTGGTGACCAGGGCTTCAAGGAAGCCTTAGCGCTCCAGCCAGGTAGCTGTGGCGGGAGGCAGTGGGTGGGCAGGCGGCCTCTTGGTGTCTGGCTTCGTGTTGCGATATTCCAGTCTGATAGCTCCTGCCCAAGGGATATTTCAAGTTCCATAGCAGCCCAGTTATCAGCAGTGCACACGTGTCCCTGAAAGGGCAGCGAGTTCTGCTTCTGCTGCAGAAAGCGGCCAGGCAGTGAAGGCTTTGGCAGCACTGGCGGGCCCCTTGTGACTTCAGTTGGCACTGAGCACTTCCCCCTGCCTTATCTCTGATGGCCTTCTTGGTGTTGCTGGGCGGTGGATGCAGAGGGTACCAGCAGTTCCCATTTTTAGGTGAGGACACTGGCTTAGGAAAGATGAAAGGACTTGCCCAGGCTTACATAGTCCACTGTGAAGTGAGAGGCAGTGTAGCCTGGTGGAGAGGGTGTGGGCTTGGGAGCTGGGCTGCCTGAGTTTGAATCCTGACTCACCACTTACTAGCTGTGGATCTTGGGCCAGTTACTTTAGTGCTCTGTGTCTCAGTTTCCGCCTCTCAAAGCAGGTAACACACTTGCCTGATAGGGTTGTTGTGAGGATTAAATGACTTAATACATGCAAGCATTTCAAAGTGCCCGGCTTACTTGGTGAATGTGCTGTGTGTGTTGGTTGTTGTCACTGTCATTCTCATTGTTTCTCTGGAGACCAAGGAGGGCCCAGAGCCTCACTGTTGTACCCAGGACTCCAGTTGGGGGCAGTTATCTGCCCAGAGCCATGCCAAGCTCAGGGACAGGGAAGGATGGGAAGCCAGGCGCCAAGATGGGGCAAGGGCGAGCCAGCCCTGAATCCTGTCTGGGGGCATCTGGACCTCACTGGAGAGGCTGAGACTGGCTCCAGAGTGGAGCACAGTGATAGGCTTGGCCATGTGCGTGGAGGGGCCCCTGGGTGGGGTGCTGAGTTCGGCAGGGTATGGGCAGCGCTTTGGAGTTTGGTTGGGGTCAGGAGCTCAGATCTGTGAACTGCTGTAGCCTGGACATGGATGAAGGGATGGTACCAGCTTCCAAGGCTCTGTCCAGGCCTGACCTGAAATTGGCAGCCAGTGAAGAAGCTTTGGAGACTCAAGTGTGGGCACCCGGGCCAAGAGGCTCCAGCCTCATCAAATGGTTGATGGAAAGGTAGGTTTCGTGCCGCAGTCGGTACTGTTTTGGAGGCTTGGCGGATGGGTATTCATGAAACACCAAATGTCAAGTCTCCTTGTGCTAAGCTTCTGTATGAGGAGGGCTTCTAGTGCCACCAAGGTGACTGTTCTAGAAGCTCCCTCCTAGAGCATCTTTGCAGCCCCTCAGGTCACAGGCTTGGGTACCTGCCATCCTGGACTCTTCTTCCCACACCAACCATTTCTGTCTCCCTGTGGCTGCTTTAGGACTTGGAGATCCGCAACAATGCGGCCAACTACCTCCCCCAGATCAGCCAGCTCCTCAGCCACGTGCCACGCCAGATGCTGCTGATCTTCAAGACCAATGACCTGCTGCGTGGCATTGAGGCCGCCCTGGGCACCCGCGCCAGCGCCAGCTCCTTCCTCAACATGTCACGTTGCTGCATCAGAGCTCTGGCCACGTGAGTGTGGGCTCCGGTCCCTCCTCCCCTGTAGCTCCTTGGCCTGCCCCTGGAATCCTGCTCACCGACACTTTCTCCCACCCATCCCCGAGGCCCTGCCCCAACCTCCAGATCTTAGGGGCAGAGAACAGCTCCAGTAAACTGGCTGATGCCTCAGGGCAGAGTTTTGGGTGGTCCAGAGAGCCACTGGCCCTTGCAAATTGTGGATTCTAGGACCTCACCCTCTTGGTCAAGCTTTTCAAGTAATTCTTACCCTCACTAAAGTCTCAGTCCCACCCAGGTGTCCCCTGGGCTTGCAATCAGGATGGCCTGATGCACATCCCCCCTCTGCCTGGTCCTGGGACCTGTCTCCCCAGGATTGGCCAGGCGGCCAGGTGGTGGGGCCATCTTTTCCCTGCAGGTGTGGTTGTGACTCAGGAAAGTGTGGCCAGCTGGCTCTGGGTTCTCTCAGGATCTCAGCTTTTTTTAGACACCTCGACACCCTTGCGGTGTGGATGCAAACGGGAAGGGTACTTCCTCAGGGAGGTAGTGGCAGAGGAGTGAGGTTCTAGGCCCTTTTACCTGAGGGCGGCACATATGTGGGAAGGTTTGTGCTTTGTCTGAATGTTCTCCCCTGAGAAGGGAGGCCTAGACTGGGGTCATCCCCCAGCCCGCCCATCCCAGGCCAGGAGTGGGCCATTTTAGCCAACTGCTTGGTGGAGGAGAGTTGATCACATATATCATGTATCCACTATCAAATATCAAATTAGATTAGCAAAATAGACTGTACACGGAAGGGGCTGAACATGATTTATTCTTCCTTTGAGGGTTCAGGAAATGAAGTTGTGACTAGGTCATCATCATAAACACCAGTTTCCATCATGTGCCTTCGCTGGTGCAGAGGGATTGAGCTGGGCTACGTCTGTAATGGCCTCAGCCTCCTAGGCACCACCTGACCAGGTGTCCAGGTGACTCTTAGCTTCAGAAAGTTTGGGGAAGCTTTTATATTTGAGTTTGGGGGGTTCTGGTTGGATAAATGTTAACTATACTCTTGGAAAAATAGAAGTATTGAAGCATTGTATCCGGTGGGTCCACTGGGCCTTTGATACTCTGTGAAACAGCTGTCTTTGCTTCCCCCACTTACCTGGAAAACTCCTTGGAGCGGTTCAGTCCCTCTGGTCCTTGATGGGCAGTGGTATGGTCATGTTCACCAGGATTTGTCTGCTGGGGTGGGAAGCTGGTGGGTTCCATTTTTCTAAATGATCCCAACTGTTTCTTGCCTCTTTACCTCTGGCCCTCTCCTTTCTTCTTGCCCCTCCTACAGGCACAACAGGAAGACCGCCTGTTCGTTCTTCAGAAGGACCCAGATCTCTTTCAGCGAGGCCTTCAGCTTATGGCAGATCGACCTTCATGAACTCATTCTGCGTGTGAAGGCGTTAAGGCTGACCCGCTGGGTCTTGGCCCTGCTTTGCTGGCTGTTGCCTGCTCCCTACTGAGTGGGCTTTCTGTCCCCTTCCCTTTTTCGGCAGACTCTACGGTGGGCAAGGGTCTTTTCACTCATTCTTTAGGCATGTCTCTACCCGTTGCCCTGTTTCTGCCACATGGTGGCCTGGAGCCCATGGTCACCGCCCAGGGCACCCTCATACTCCACCTCTGGAATTCCTGTCCCTCCCTGTAGCCCCTGTCTGGGGGCCCACATGCTGAACCATGCTGTAGGTCCCTGTCCTTATCGAGCAAGGTGGCACACAGTCCACTTTCCCACTCCCGGTGTGTGCCGTTGGGCTAGATGTCCCCCCACTTCTGTCAGCCCCTCCTGCGTCAGAAGGGACCGTGAGTCCCACCGAGGGCACATTTTACTTGCAGGAAGTTTGATTTTGTTGGAGGGGGCGTGGTCTCTGAGCTCGCTGGAGAACAGGTTCCCCCCTCCTTCCCCTGGCACCCCTCAGAGGTGTCGCCCCTTGGTGAGTCTGTGCAGCAGCTGCGCGTTCACTGCTGTCGTGGGGAGCCCTTTGGTATCTTTTGTGCTGTGTCCAGTAAGACCCCTCAGGGTTGCAGGGCAGGTCTCGGTCGGTGGGCCTTTTTTTCTAGGTTGGGAGTGAATCCACTAGGGCCATTGGGTAGGAGCGGCCCCGATCACCGTGTGCCATTGTGTTCTGCTTGGCTTCTTGCCTCTGTGTTTCTCCTGCCTGCCGCTGTGGGGCCACTTCCAGCTTCTGGTAGGTGTCTCTCATCTTCCAAGCCTTAGACCTTGGTTGCAGTTGTTCGGAAGCCCAAGGGCAGGAACCCAGGGGCGCAGCTGAAACCTCAGACCTTGGTTCCCCTGGGTTCTCACCTAATTCCCTGTGACCTGGCGCCTGCCTTGTTCTACTAATTGCTTCCTGACTTAGCCCTTTGGTTCACCATTCGACGTCCCCGGTGCTGGAGACTGTAGACTGAACCTCACTTACCATGGCCAGGGTTCCTCTCTGAAACCTGCTTGTCACCTGTCCAGACTCTACGCTTCACCATATTGCCTGCTGCAGGCCTGCCCCTCCCAGCACGATCTTTGGCGCCCGCTTCTGGGACGCCCCAACCTCCTGCTTTATCTCCTGTGCATCTCCAGGGGCTGCTGGGCGGAAGTCCCTTGGCTTCCGTTAATCCTTCCTTTGTTAACCTGTAGGAAGTTTGAGTTTGTCGGAGGGGAGCATGGTCTCTGGGTTTGCTGGAGAACAGGTCCCCTGTCCTTGCCCGGTCACTCCCCAGAGCTGTCACACCTCATATTTGGCATGTCCTAGCTCTCACTGAGCACGCTTGCTCACAGACAGTAATTGTACTTCAGTCTCTCTGATCTTACTTCACCCCATTCACAGGGCAGAAAACCCCTGAATTTGAGTCTGATTTTCTGTTCTCATTAATCCTAGTACAACAAGCAGATTTTCCGCTAACAAGAAACGATTCGTAATTCCTTTATTTCCTGAAAGAATTAATTGTTCTTAGTGACCAGCTGGATGTACCTAGGAACCCGAGAAATAATTTGCAAGATCTATTATTAATCATGAGGACACATACTGTATGTTATATTTTATGGTGTCTTTTGTAGTCACTGAAGTAAATATAAATGTCCTTTTCTTCAAGGTAATGGTTACTTGCTTTTCACTTTCGATTTAATGGTTGGCTTCCTGTTGGCCTGGGATGTAAAACATCAGCATGGTGCCCGTGGGCCCAAGCACCCAGAACACATTCAGGGAGCACAGAGAGGCTGGGAGAGTTTGGGTACAGGGCAGTTTGAAGATAGGAGAGGAGTAGGCTGATGACTGTTGAGTGCCTTCCACGTGTGAGAGGACATGCTGGGCTCTTCGTAAGTAAATTCTGTCCTTGAATTGTCACAACAGCTTTGTGAGTAGTCATTAGCCTCATTTTCCAGAGATCGGAACTGAGGGTCAGAGAGGTTCAGTAATTTCCCTCAAGTCACACAGCTGCTTTGTTTTTTATCCCATAGTATTGTAGATATGGATCATACTTGTTCTTTGGGCTTCGTATGTGCCTGCACTGGGTCCCATACACCCTGATTTTGAGGGAAATTGGGTTTTCAGTGGAGGTGGGGGAGTGGATGGGTAAGGGGGACAAAAAACCCTGGAAAATGCGGACTGAGTCCAGCATGTTCCTTGGGGCCTAAGGCAAGATGGACCTGGACTGCTACACTCCGCAGTGCAAGTCGGATACTGACCACACAAGTTAGGGCAGAATCCACAGGCTTAAGGTCCTGGTTCCCCCGGGACTGCTCTCACTTCAGGCACGAGCTGTGGGTTTGGGGATACCCAATTCTGACCAATTGACTATAAATTTGGAGGCTCCCCCAACCCTTCAGATTTACTCAATTTCCAGAATGACTCACTGAACTCAGGAAGTCACTGTGTTTGTGATTACAGTTTTATTATAAAGGATGCAAATCAGCACCCACCAAATGGCATCAGGCGAGGTCTGGACGGGCCCTGAAATCAGGGCTTCATGTCCTCGCCTGTGCAATCAGGACACATCCCCCTCTCGGCATGGCAGTGTGCGCACGGAGCTCCAGCGTTCACTTCTTGCCAGGGTTTCATTACACAGGCAGGACTGATTGTGTCACTGACCACGTGTTGGAATTTAACCTCCAGCCTCCTCCATCCCCAGGCAGGTGGGGCTGGTATGGCCCCCATCCTGAGTCACTTAGTACAAACTGAGGTATGATCCAAGGGGTGCAACATGAATATCAAAGATACTCCTGTCACTGGGACATTCCAAGGAGTTAGAGGTTCTCTCCCAGGAGCAGGGACAAATACCAGACCAGTTCTTCATCAGATAACATTCAGGGTGTCAGGAAGATGCCACAGCTGACTTTGAAGAGAGTTTTTTTCTAACACTTGGATCATCAGTCAGTTTAGGTGTTGGCTTCTCTCATTGGGGCAACATGCTGTTTTCCTTCCCTTCCTCTTCTCAGGTGGAGGAGAGAGACATTCTAACTCTGTGGCCCACTGGGTGGAGAGCCCTCAGATATGCTCCCAGCCAACAGTAAGTGCAAACGTCCTGGCTTATAACAAGTGCTCAATAAACATGCAGATGTTTAGAATCTTGGAGTACTTTATTTTCAGGGAGGTTGACACCTGTGTATTAAAAAAGCCACCCAGGTCCCTCACCTCATGAGGAACGCTGCCTTGTTTGGTTGCCAGGTTCATTTCCTTAGAGCCGGAGCCCCTGCCAGCATCGGAGGTGGCACTTTCAGCATTACAGGCTCCCTAGGGCCCTCCTGCTGCAGCTGCAGGGCTCGAGAATGCGAGCACCTAATGCCATCTCAGAAAACAAAAGTGGCTCCAAGAGGCCCGGGAGCGGCTCCTCAGGGGCAGGACTGGTTGAGAGGCGCGGCATTACCCTCAGTGTTAGCAAATGGGAGGCATTCCACGGGGCCAAGTGGAGTCACACTTGGGGCTTAAGTGGTCTTAACGGTATGGCCATGAGGAGCTAGGGTCTAAGTTGAGAACCGGTGATCGGGCAATTCTCCATTGAACGAGGAAAGCCATGGAGACTGGTGTGTGCCTTGCGGCCTGGCCGGTTGGGGCGGTGATGTTTGCTGGGATTGGGTGGGCCTCTAATTAACAGGAGGCCTTGAATGCCAGGTGACCAGCTGCCACTGCTAGAGGTAGCTGGCCACAGGCTGAACTGTGGAAGGCTCAGTCCCCTAAGGCTTACATCTGCAAACCTTTTGGTAAAAGCCCATTTGTTCAAAAAGGCCCTGCTCTCACCTCCTTTCCCTCGGCCCTCACCCCACCCCTTCCTTCCTATTATGAAGCTACGTGGACTGGCTTGGCTTTCCTTCCTTTTCTAAAGGATGGACGAGGTCAGCCCTCAGCAGAGTAAATGTTAAACCTTAGGCTGTAGCTGCGATGCCCACTTTCCTGTGGCGAGTGCTTCCTGGCCCGGTTTCCCTGGCGCCCGCCTCAGCTCCCACCAGCAGCCAGCTTCCGGCCTAGCCAGGTCACCGTGCTCTGCTCCTGGATGGCACTGTCCAGGGCACAGAACACTCTCTGCGCAGTTCTGCCTCTGGCTTAATAGTGGCAGAGTTCCTGGGATGTTTTCTTCCTGTTTTTCTCTTTCCCAGGTGTGAGAGGAAGGCCAGGCTGGTGAAGGGTGCAGTGATGGGTATCGAGCCCCCGACTGCTGCCATTTCAGCCCCCATTTCCTCATCTCTCCCTGCACTTTCATTCTAGAGCTGTACTTCTCAGGCTTCGTGTGTGAATGAATAAGCTGGGCTCCCATTAAAACACAGATCCTGATTTATTGGGTCTGGGTGGGGCTGAGAGTCGGCACTTCTAACAAGCTCCCAGGGGGTGCTGATGCTCCTGGTCTGAGGACCACACTTTGAGTTGCAAGGATCTAGATCAATGGTCTCAGGACTGGCAGCATCAGCATAACCTGGGAGCTTGTTATAGATGCAAATCCTCTGACTGCGTTCCAGACATCCTGAATAGAAACTCGGATGGGGCCCGGCAATGTTTTAATAAACTCTCCAGGGGATTCTGATGCACACACAGTGGGGAAACTCTGGTCTATGGTTCTTACCCCTACCTGCACACCGGGATCGCCAGGAGAGCTGCTAATGCCTAAGATTCTGATTATAGTACCTCTGCCCCATCAGTGGTTTTGCTTTCCACGGTTTCAGTGACCTGTGATCAGTCTTGTTCTGAAAATATTAAATGGAAAAATTTTAAAAATAAACAATTTATACATTTTAAATTGTGCGCCATTCTGAAATCTTGTGTCATCCTGCTCTGTCCTGCTGGGATGTGGATCATCTCTCTTCCAGCATATCCATGCGGTATCTGCTGCCTGCCCTTAGTCACTGAGTAGCATTCTTGGTTATCAGATTGGGTATCAGAGAGGCAGACGGAGAGGGAGCTAGAGGAGGGCAGGCCACTTTCACATAACTTTTATTACAGCATATTGTTATAATTGTTCTGTTTTATTATTGTTAATCTTGCTGTGCTTAATTTGTAGATTAGTTTTATCATAGGTATGTATGTATAGGAAAAAACATCATATATGTAGGGACTGATACTATTCGCTGTTTCGGGAATCCGCTGTGGGTCTTGGAATGTAAGGGGGACTACAACTGTAATTGGTTTGAGTAAGGGCCAGGAATTAAAAAAAAACTTCTTTTAATTGATCCTGTCAAGGATACCATATTATATTCAGTTGTCATGTCTCCTTAGTCTCCTCTACTGGGTGATAATTCCTCAGACTTCCCTTGTTTTTCATGACCTTGAAAGACCATGACTTGGGGAAGAGTACTGGTGAGGTATTTTGTAGAATGTCTCTCAATTTTGGCTTGTCTGATGTTTTGTTGTGATCAGGCTGGGGTTGTATGTTTGGGGAAGAATGCCACAGAGATGAAGTGCTCCTCGTATCATGTCATATTTGGGAAAACGCGATATTGACATGACTTACTCGTTGTTCTTTAAAGCTCTCCAGCAGGGTTGGGATCCCTGCTTTACTGGCTCACACACCTTCCATGTGTCTTCTGGAGAAGGAAGAAATGCCGTTCGTGAACTCTTCCGCACGTGGGCTTAGGCACACCCTCTTTGTGATTAAGGAAGCCTGGCTATTTCCTAATTAAAAAGCTCCCAGGAGACTACAAAAAGCAGATGTGCCAACATAAGGTAAAAAATGGCAGTGTAGTGTAGTTTTAACATTTATGTTGACTGCAAATTAACTCTCTAAGCACACACAAATGTAATGACCAGTGGATATCTTATCAAGAGCATGAGCATCAGGCCCATCCTCCAAAAGACAGACCTGGCACTAGGGTTTCATTTTCCAGGTGTATTTGGAGTTCCAGTGGGAGTTTGCAGGGACCCTTCTAGCTGGACACTGCCGAGTGGTGGGTACATTTTGCACCAGCCTGTGCTGGTAGCTGCCTCACAGTATCCAGAGGGGGCAAGTCAGAGTCTCATTGGGACTGGTGGTTGACCATTTCAAGCCATGATCCCAGCCATGAATGATGGAAGTGGTTTCTGGCCTTTCTCTAGGTGGGTACTAATGGAGAGGGAAGATCTGGATGATGGGAGTGCCAGCAACATGGATTTCCTTTTTTCAGACTGATACTGGGTGGGCTCCCCAGGCTGATGAATTAGGGACAAATGGACTCTTGCTGTCTCCTGCCTTCTTGGAACTTCCAGGACTGTGTGTAGTTGGTGGGGGTGGGGTGATGTGGGAATCTTCTACCCTGGTCCCTGGGCGCTTGTTCTTTTTTGTGCCAGATGTAAACATTTTGCATCAGAGTATTTGCAAACACTGAAGCAGGCAGTATAGGGTAGTATTTAAGGGCCTGAGCTCTAGAGTTGGCTTGAGTTCACATCCTAGTCATGGGCAAGTAACCCATGACTCTTGGGGCCTCTGTTCCTCAATTTGAGAAGTGAGGATTAGGGTACCTGCTTCATAGGGTCATTGGGAGGATTAAGTTAGATAATATATGTAGCGTACTTGTAGAAGTGCTTGGAGAAGAGAAACCATGGTAAATGCTCAATAAATGTTTAATTTCTTCATTAGCCCCCATGGCAGACACTACTCCCAATCCCCTTAACTCTTGCCTGTCCTATACTTGAGAGGTCGAAAAAGTGAGGTCTTGCTT